ACGCCTTCTGAATGTACAGTTTGTAATCCTGCCCTCATAACACCTATCAACACATATCTCACATACTTCAGCAATCACGGAGTTTTACAGTATTAGAACTATATTGATAAGTATTGAACAAACAACACAGCACAGTTAAACACAAAGGTACTGTTGAGTGAGTTTGACTTTAACTGAATGTCCACAGACATTAATGGACTTAGAAATGTGCACATTTGTGAAGCTATTTCAACATATTGTGGCTTGGAGAATGCAGTCATGTGCACTTAGTTCCTGAAAGGCTGATGATCTGGAGGTGACCTTTCTTTATTCAACAGCAAAGTGGTAAGTTAACTGGTTAGTCAGTTATTTACTTGTTTTGTTTCAGGGCCTCACAGTCATGACAAATCTATGCCAGAATTCATTAGACAGCAGGGAATAACCACATGTTCAGTAGTGTAGAGGAAAGATGCATGACTCCTCTAAAAGAGGAGAGTAAGATCTACAGTATCAGTTGAGTTACCTAGTCCAGGAACCACCCCTGTCATGACACTTGTCGGGGACATCTTCACAGTAGTCTGTCAAAGTGACTGGCACAGAAAGTGTGAGTCAAAGATAGTACAAATATGGATGGATATAGTGGACACAAGACTCACAGTACAAAGTAAAACATATGACTGACACATCTCACTCCAGATAAACATGAGGCAAGATTTTTGTTCTGTTAAATCAAGGAAGCTGTGGATTTTGATGTTGCACAACGTGTTAGGTAAGACTTCCTAACTCGGCAAAGCAGAAGACCATTAATTCTTACCCTGGTTTGATTATCTGACCCTTTACCTTATATTAACAGGTAAAATGTCATTCACCTCACAAGAACTCACCAATAAACACACAACACACATGAAAAACTCACCAGCTTGGGTTGTAGAAAACCAGATGAGTATGAAGAAAAAAAAACTCCACATTGTGTTTCACTGTTCCTCCACCATATGTATGATGTTACAGTTTCATGTCAGGTCATTCTCATTGTGTGAGGTTTGTCTGATGAAGCAAACAGAGAGTTTCACATCTGCATCACATGGTAGTGGTAGAGTGGGGGTGGACACCGCATATGTACA